TATATATATATATATATAATATGTGTGTGTGTGTGTGTGTATATATATATAGAGAGAGAGAGAGAGAGAGCACATATATGTGTGTGACCCTGGACAACAAAACCAGTCATAAGGGTACATTTTTTATTAGGATAATATTTGGCCGAGATACAACTATTTGAAAATCTGGAATCTGAGGGTGCAAAAAAATAAAAATATTGAGAAAATCGCCTTTAAAGTTGTCCGAATTAAGTCCTTAGCGATGTAATTTAGTAATTTAATTTTATTGTTACTTTGTCGATTACTAAATATTATAAACTTAGTTTTACTTAAATTCAGTGAAAGTCTATTATCATCAAACCATTTTTTGAAAACCATGAGTTCGATTTCCACTGTATTCAGAAGCTGTTCCAAGTTTTTCCCCGAACAATATAAATTTGTATTATCAGCAAACAAAACCATTTTTAATACTTTAGACACTTTACAAATATAATTTATGTACAGTACAAACAATTTGGGGCCTAACACCGAACCTTGCGGAACACCACAAGTAACTTTCACTACATCGGATTTAACATTATTTATTTGTACAAATTGATATCTGTCATCGAGGTAACTTTTTATCCACGCAAAGGCTTTTCCTCTTATACCATATCTCTCCAGTTTCATCATTAATAAACCATAATCAAGTTGTCCAAATGAAGTTCTTAGCAATGCATATTACTAATCAAAAATTAGGTTTTAATATATTTACGGTAGGAAATGTACAAAATATCTTCATGGAACATGATCTTTACTTGATATCCTAATGATTTTTGGCATAAAAGAAAAATCGATAATTTTGACCCATACAATGCATTTTTGGCTATTGCTACAAATATACCCCAGCGACTTAAGACTGTTTTTGTGCTCCAGGGTCACATATATATTTCTCACCTATGAAATCGTTAGATTTTCCCATGTCATAATCCCAGACAGAGATGTCCAAAGTCTTCTTTGCCAGTTCAGCATGCTTGACTTCATAGCTGAACTCCTGAAATCACAAAAAAACCACGACAGGTCCATTTCATAAGATATATTCTAAAAAAAAAAAACTTCCTTTCATTATAGTGTCAGAGCGTATTAAAGCACTGTCATGGTGTCACGTCAGTGTCGAGTGCGTCAAGATGCTCACTGTTCACTGCAGGTTATAGCGCCACAGACAGAAAGAAGGAGTACCTCATTAAACTCAGGGTTAAGTGTCTTCTTCTTGATCTGAGTTTTATACTTTGCTTTCTTTCCCATGTCAGGCTTCAAGGAACTGAAAAATAGCATGAAAATTCAGAGACACAAAACACAGCATGTTAAATTAGCGTAATGACTGTCACAAAACAATTCCACCAAGCAAATGATTCTTCTTACAGAGAACATTTTAATTACACTTTATAAAGTGCTTTTTGGAGCTTTTTATTAGATTGTTGTATACTTGCATCTTTACAAAGGGGTCCGAATAGCCATTCGCGTCCATTGCTGCCAGATGAGCACATCGAACTACACCCACAATCAGACGACTCTGCTGGCTGTTGTAAGTGAGAGAAATCAAGATACGTCCCCTCTCCCCTCCCTCTTCATCGTCCTTCAACTACAAAGACACACAAAAGAAGTAAACCCATATATCTTCTTGTAGACACTAATTAACAGATCAGTCATTTAGCTGAACCATTTAACAAGATGACTTATTATGCACACAGGTGTACAGGTTCAGTTCAACAAGGAGAAACGGAGGTTAAATGCCTTACGCAACAGCACAATGATGATAGTTACCATCCAGAATCTCAAAAGACGATAATGATAATGCTCTCTTGGGAACACAGTGTTGCAAGTATTTATTTTCATATTTAATTCACACAATGTATGATGCAGTTACCTCCTCCTCATAGAGCGCCATGCCACGAGATGCACCTGCGCCAGCAGTACGTCTCACCTGCATACCAGGTGTTAAACACAGTCAATTCAATACAATGCAAAGTCAAATTGGGTCATTTCTACAGTTTGGATGTTATGTCCCCATGAAACAATACTGCATATTTTACATGGTAATCAACTTTCATGCCACATGGATTCCCATGCATAAATGTACCCCATTCAACACAAATTCATGATTAGTACCTAACCTAAAAATAATCATTTAAAAAAGCGCTTGACAAATTTTCATGTCCCCAATCATGTTTTCTTAACTATTTTGAAATAGAGGTAACATATCCTCTGCAGTGAATGGGTGCCGTCAGAATGAGAGTCCAAACAGCTGATAAAAACATCACAATAATCCACAAGTAATGCACACCACTCCAGTCCATCAGTTAACGTGACGTGAAAAGCTGCATGTTTATAAGAAACAAATTTATCATTAAAGCATTTTTAACTTAAAAATGTCGCTTTTGGCCAAAATAAAAGTCCGGTGTTTTCCTCCAGTAAAAAAAGTCCATCCCCTGTTGTCCTCTCGCATCAAAATCCACCGACGTATTTGTTTAGAACTGTATTGCAACTCGGTTTTTCGCTTTTGCTAAACAGTGCTTGAGCTATGCATATTCCTCTCCTGATTCTGACAAGATGACTTTTCACTGAAGAAACCATTATTATAGATTATGGACTCCATAGTGATTTGAAGTTCATTTGAAGAACATCTTGATGGATTTGATTTTTACAGACACAGTTTTTCACTTCACAAGACATCATTTTTTATAGCCAGAATCACCGGTTTGAAATTAAAAACGTCTTAATGATAGATTTGTTTCTTAGAAACACAGATTTTCACTTCACAAGCCGTTAACTGATGGACTGGAGAGGTGTGGATTACTGTGATGTTTTTATCAGCTGTTTGGACTCTCATTCTGACGGCACCCATTCACTGCAGAGGATTCACTGGTGAGCACGTGATGGAATGATAAACTCCCCAAAAACAGATTCTGCATTAGCTTAAAACGTTAAAACGCACATTGTATTGTAAAAATGTCAATGGGACAAATTTCCTAGACCACGTGTGAAATATTTGGTCAGGATTATTAGGTTATACTACATTTTCTCCCTCTGATAATACTAAAAAATTTATTTTAACAAACCTGCTAAGTCCAAATAACAAAGTGTAGGAATGACCCCATAACAATAAACTTTCTACAAAACGTTTTACTGTCCCCTTCAGCTTACCGGAATCACTCTCTCAAGACACACATTGTAGGTCTTCTTCTGGTTCAGCTTCAGTTTTTTCAAGACCACCCGCGTCTCGCCGATAAACTCATTATGGCCGAACTTGTCCTCATCACTGACAGAAAGCCTGCCAGGGAACAATGCGGATGCTGACCCTTTCCACTCTGGGAAATGTCACGGCTTTAATTAAGTCAACTGCAAACTATTCTAACCGAATACATCAGTGAGGCTCTCCAAGAATCTTTAAGTTGTAAATGCAATGGAAGAAAATGCAACAGTCAGCTCATTCCATCATGCAAATAACTGAGGAAGGAGAATTGTAAACAATTAGCATTATGTTGCCCGTTCATTTACTTCAGTGCATTAAATACAGTAAAGCTGGCTTTACCTGAGAGTCTTTTTCTGCATGTCTTCATTAGTGATGCCATGATAAACAAGGGTCTCGTTCCACACAGGGTTCAAGGTGGTACGAATCGTCTTTGTTCTTAGCTTGTTAGACTGAGAGATCGACAAAATATCATGTATCCATCACATTCTGAGAGTTTACAATTTCTACAACTACTTGTACAGCTTCATGTTGCAGGTAAATAGCAGTAGGTATGCTTGCATGCACTAATTTTCATCAGTTGGAAAGAATCCAATCTCAATTTTAGATTCTGAAAGTACAGTTTTTATGAATGCTAAACTTTGCAATCCAATTCACGTATTCATTTACATGTGCATTACATGCATTCAGAATAAAAACGGAGAAAACCATTGCTATTAATGTCATCAGAGCTAACTTGAGTATAATTGTTTATTTCTAAACATATCTAAAAATGAAGTTGATGTATATGTCTGAAGAGCTTTTTAGCAAATATTTAGTAAATATACAGTCTGACCGGTAAGACTAAAAATAAACAGGCATGTTCATAAAATGTAAAGTACAGCACTGCACATGTGCACAAGGTATATTCTGTATTGAGAAAATTGTCAGATTCAAACTTATACGCGCTTCAATTTTTTTTCCTGTTGATTGAATTATTTCACGTCTACATAACCTCTTCCAATCTGATCGAAATTTCACCCAGATCAAGCTCAGTTGGATTAACTGAGGTGCTTATATGAAGATTTTTCAATCCCACTGAGCCATCAATCTGATTACTAACGGCTTATTTGGTTGCATGTAAACATAGCTAGTGATATTTACCATTAGCAGGATTTCTTTTAAAGACCACTACCTTACTGGCTCCTGGAAGCAAGTGCAGTTTCACATAAGGATCAGCCAGACCATTGGAGTCCATGGGCTTGAGACCCTTCACCAAAGATGGAATAATTGCATGGTTAGCAGTTAAACACATCGAGACATGATCCTTCAGAAACGTTTTTCCAGTGCAAAAATAGATTGCATCAAAACCGCCTGTTCTAGGGAAGAAAGACAATACCTTTGCTTTGATTATATTGCACTGCAGTTCGTTTTTCTCCTCCTCGTAGAGCAGACTGAACTCCAACATGCCCAGAGTGGCTGGAAAGTGGACAAAATCGTGTCAAAGGCATGAAAAATCTGACACGAAGAATAACAGTCTCACTTCAATGCCGTCTTCAAGCACACTTCTGCTGATTTTATGCAATCTGTGATGCAAGACTTGCACAGTAAACCATTTTGTTCTGTGTGGTTCCCATGGGGTACAAACATGTCCATATGTCAGTGCAAATTAGCATCTTACTGGCATCATCAGAGTCATAGCTGTTGGCGTCCTCTTCATCCTCTGCAGTGGGGGGTGGTGGCTGGCGTGAAGCGGGAACGCTGTTGGCAGCTGGTAAACGTGCGTCGGTCTGCATAGCAGGTGGTGCCCTGGCCTCCGATCGACTCACAGGATCTAGAATTTGTACCAAGTGACATGTGCTCTTATTGCGCTGATTGTGGGGTAGCAAAATGTGCAATTCCTACAGTGTAATACTAAAAACAAATAAGTAAGGAAACACAGTAATCACATCCAGATCGATAACTCCAGATGCATCAACCAACTGTAAGAAGAAGCCATTTAGCTGAAGCTTTTAACCGAAGCAATCTGCAGTGTGCTTATTATAGGATCAGTCCCACTGGAGCAATCTGAGGTTAAGCGTCTTGATCAAGGGCACAATGGCGACGAATCAAAAGCCTGCGGGATTCAAACCTACAACATTTTGGTTACCAGCCCAGGGGCCTCATTTATGAAGACATCCACAGAATGTTCCTAAATATGAACGTACGTCACTTTCTGAAATATGCACAAAACAGTTCCTTTATAAATCACAGTCCATCTTAAATTTAAACTCAAAAAGGAACAAGCACATCAGCTCCACCTAATGAATTCATGTCCGTGACATATCGCAAAGCAGTTGTTCATTTGCACATATGTGACCCTGGGCCACAAAACCAGTCATAAGGGTACATTTTTCGAAATTGAGATTTA